ACGCAACCCGTATCCGCAAAAAAAAAAAAAAAAAAAAATGGGGGGAAAAAAAACGGATACGTGTGGACGGTGAAAACGATTCGAATACGCTGCGTGTGGACGCAAACATTTTCGTATCCGAAAAAAAAAAATTGCGGATACAAAAATTTCCGGATACGTGTGGACGAGGCCTAAAGCATAGCCTGCGTAGCGGCGGGTTCAGTGGTTCGGAGGGACGTTTCGCAGGCTGCCATTGCAGCGAAAAAAGATTAACTCGTTGGCTGCCATCTTCCATTCTATTTGGTATGGACTGCCTCATGAACAGGTTCCTTGTCGTATTGCGGGAGAACATTAGTTAGACAGGCTGTCTCTTTACTATCTTGATACTCTGTCTTAGAGCTTGATCCTGGTTTTGAAGACTGTTTTTTTTATTTCTTTCAGGGAAACGGAACAACACCGCAGGAAGGGTTAATGACTGTTAAGTAAGGGAGAAAATTATTTGCTTAGACAATTGCTTGCTCGCTTGATTTTACCGATCCATTTATCCGTCCGTACGTCCGACCATCTATCCTTTTATCCATTCATCCATCTGTCCATCACATCCATCCATCCATCCATCCATCCTTCCATCTCATCCCATCCCATCCCATCCCATCCATCCATCCATCCATCCCATCCCATCCCATCATTTTCATTCAATTCGTTATCTTGTTACCAATGTTACTTTTCTCGTATCGTAGAATGGATCCTGATGACAAGGGACGGTTTGGTTTTAATGTTCAGGTAAGTACTGTGTGGTGGTGACACTAGCACTAGTATCAGTATAACTGGTAGTTTTCTAATTTCTGACTTTTTCCTACTAACATTTTATTTTCAGGGTGGCTCTGATATCGAACTTCCAGTAATCGTTTCCAAGATAGCTCCTTCGACACCGGTATGGAAATATTCTTTGTTACTTTGTTTTTCCTTCCCTTCCCTTCCCTTCCCTTCCCTTCCCTTCCCTTCCCTTCCCTTCCCTTCCCTTCCCTTCCCCTCCCATCCCCTCCCATCCCATCCTATCCTATCCTATCCTATCCCCGAAACAACGTTATGGTGAACCCTTCTTCAGTGTACTAATTTCAATTCAAGTAAGAGACTCCATTAAATAATCAGTCAAATCCACTTTAAACTCATCTAGCACTGTCTTATATAAAATCTCCCAGGCTGATCTATGCGTGCCACAGCTCCAAGAAGGAGATGAAATTGTCTATATAAACGGCCAGTCAATGAAGGGTTTGGCGCATTTAGAGGTACGTATTAATATATGATTGATATCATACTAATAGTACTTTTCTCATTCCGTAAATACCTCTGTGTTTTATGGCTAAAATAGTAAAATGCACAGGCTTAGCCTCACTTGAAAGTAAGGCTGCGTTCATAATGTATGGCAGAGGCAGAGGGGCGATCGGAAAAATTTTTATCAGTAAATTGGGTGGGGGGGGGGGGGGGGCAGGTGAAATTTAGGGGGGATTGGGAACATTTTTACAAGTAAAGTGGGGGGGGGGGGTTGAAATATTTTTTTCAGAGAATTTGGGGGGATTCAAAATTTTTAGAAGAAGCTATGAGAGATTGCCCGGGGTTCAGGGGGTAGGGGGTCTTAATTTTTTTTTTTGTCATTTAAAGATTTCACCTGCCCCCCCCTCCAATCTGCCATACCTCATGAACGCAGCCTAAATCGTTCACAAACGTCAGCTGTATCGTAAAAATGTACATCTTGAAAAATACCAATAATTTGAAATCCCAAGGTCTTTTAATGTTATCTGTAAATAGCTGACTTATAAACGAGACTAAGCCTGTGCAAATGAGTCTGTGGTCATATCTCATAAAATAAACTGTTATTCTTTGCAGATTGTAGAGTTGATACGAAGTATTAGTTGCTGTAAAAATCAAACGCTAATACTAACCATACGACCAAATGGTAAGTGACTTTTACGGTGCGCACAGAATTCGGTCATCCAGCAATCCCATACCAAGAGCCTGCGCTCCTTCTGGCCTGCGGCGAAATACTAGAGAAACTTGTTCTTCGCCGCAGGCCAGAAGAAACGCAGGCTCGGGGTACGAGATTGGTCACCCAGCTGATCTAAAATAGTGACGTAGGAAGAACGTCACTGCAAAACTGAGGTGTCATGAAGCCTGTGAAAATTGACCAGCGAAAAATCAAAACCTGTCCACCGTTGTAATAAAAATATAGAATTCAGTTATGCGTGTTACTGTCATCACCCTCTTATAAGTGACGTTTTTTTCTTTTTTGTTTTTGTTTTTGTTTTTTTTTGGTTTTTGTTTTTGTTTTCATTTGATGGCCTGGAAATCCATGATTTCAAGAGGAAGAGTAACACCACAGTTTTGCAAATTTCCTTGATTCTGATTGGCTATCATTTTCTCTCAGATCCGCTGGATGTTTATTCCAACTTGTCTACTCATCCTGGCAACATTACTTTATTTAACTGAACCGTTACATTTTTAAAATGAAATGAAATCAAATAGGATAATCCAGTGGCTCTTTCCACTCTGACTCCACGCACTGTGATTTACTATTGGTTTTACCATGAGCAAACTCGTCAAAACCTCGTTGGTAATTCGACAAATCATTGCCAAAATGAGAAATAGCCATCAGTTTTTTCCCCGTAAAGTAGATGATCACCAGAGCAGTTTTCGCATGACTGTGAAATGTGCCGTAAACGTGCCGTGCCTTGACCATGAATGCTATCTAGAATCTTAATTGGCTGATTTTTTTCTCGCGCAATGTGATTGGACTGAAAGTGCCGTAACCTTTGCGTGACCGTGTCCGCGCCGTGTTAGCCGTATTTCAGGCATTTGATTGGACGGGAGAGTAAATTCTTTAGCAATGTGATTGGTCTGGCGTTTCCCTTGCTGTGTCACGACCGTGTTCGTGCCGTGAGTTTCACAGTCATACGAAAACTTCTCTAGTCCAGTAACATAGGCATTCAAAATATAACATTGTGTGATGGATATTTTCGGATAATTAAAGAAAACGTTTCGTTTTGTATTGTTGTCCTCAGTGTTCGCTTCTCAAGGACCAAGATCCATCAACGATTCACCTACTCACGTTTTGTCACCCGAGCAATATATTGAAAATGAACGAAAACACGAACAAGATATCATTATTGCTAAAAAAGAAAAGGCCGAAGCCCGAGATGAAGAGGCGCTTCGAGTCTCGATAGAACAACTAAGAGAGGTCTGTATACAATACTCTGCGTAGTACTCTCACACTAATCCTCTTGAGTAAGAGATCTGCCTCTGGTACTGTAACTAATACTTTAGCTGGACACGTGTTTCTGTTATACGTTTACTTCTCTGGGCTTCCTATGGAAGACGACGGAAGATGGTAAATGAGAAGGGAGAAAAAGGGTAGTTTTTCTAGGCCAAATTACACAGGTAGCCCAAAAGAGATGATAAGATGCCTGGGGAGTAGGGTAACGAGAACAAACTGCCTCGACGTATAGAGGAAAAGAAATCACGTCAAACGTCAATAGAATCAAAAACAAATCAAAAACGACTTTTTTTCGGCTGAGTTGTTTCCCATTTCGAGATTTTTTGAAATTATCCGCTTATTGATGGGTTGCAAGCACTTCCAAGACAGTCAAAGGACAAAAACATGACCATCTTGGTACGGTAACAATGGATGCTAATGAAACATATTTTGTTAAATAGCACGAACGTCGTCGTGCTGCGATGACGTAACGATCGAGCAATTGTGCTTTCCCCATTGCCTCCCTAGTCTCCCCCACATCCRCTTTCAGTGTCGTCACGCAACGCTTTCTCCCCTGACTATCGCCTCCCACGCTTGTGACAGAAAAAGCTAATCTCAGCTAATCTCGACACGATTTTGTGGTTTTCTTAATCCTCTAAGAATCCAAACTGAACGATAACTTTGTATATGACCAACGCGAGATGATACACACATTATATGTCATCGTTGCAAAGGCGCTACGATAACAAACCAGTAATCAATTACGATTTTATTGGTGATTGGATTGAATCAGTGGAGTGTGGCCCAAACTCTCTGTAAATAAATAAATTGCTCATCCCATTGTTTTTGTTTTTTCCCCGTTTTCAGAATCTAGACAGTGGAGATTTACTGGTTTACTTCCAAGTAAGTTTCACTTTTACTCCTGGTTTTCCAAAGACAAGCGACGCAAGCATTTATATTACATAATTACGACATAGACAAGATCAGATTCACAGTTATGCAACTCCTTTACATTTGAGTAGAACAAAATATCCAGTCTGCGCTTGAGACTACCAATAATCTGACTTTCCTGTTATAGTTCTGTATATTTATCCTTCTTGGCTTTCTCGTTCCTCAACCACAAACCAAATCTCTTCACTTTTATTTTAGGAACTTTATCGAAAAAAGCCAGGAATGTCAATGGACGAAGCACGCAAACCAGAGAACCTCCCAAAGAACAGATATCGGGACATCCTCCCATGTGAGCACTGCTATCTTTGTTATCTCTAGTGGTTCATAATCAATCGGGTTGTCATATCAGATCTGTCTTGTGGTACATGTGGTATAGGATACGCGGTGCCAGCTGACACACAAGTGCGCAGTCGAACATTTCTGAGTCTCTTTTAATAAATCCCACAATGCCTTATTTTCCGAATGTGACGTCAAATTTATTTTGAAATTTGTTTTACTTATTTTGATGAATTTAAAAAGATTAAGTTTGATGTGAAGAAAATAAACTTCATGTAAAGCTCGGGGGAAAAAAATGTTTTGGGATTTTTACAGTATGCATTGACTTTTTGAATCTGCTTAATACGTATAGCCCGCTGTTATGGACACTCGCGTTCGACCCCCTTCAAAAGCTATTCTTATTTTCCTTTGACACGAAAATGTGTTCCATATCAGAATAACTGAAAGCTCTGTACGGCTAAATGGTTTATCGATGGTTAGTAATAACAGAGTTCCTGTGGATTTGGCGGGAACTTTTGCGCTAAACTAACGCGTGCGTCCAAACTCTGAAACCATAGCAACGCCACTGCAAAGCTGAATTTTTCCCCCAGACCAATTGTTATTTTGAAGTTATATTTGTGTTTGTTGTTTTTGCAGACGATGATACTCGTGTGAAGCTCCTCAAAGGAAACAGTGATTACATTAATGCTAACTATGTCAATGTATGTTAAGTTTTATTTATTTATTTATTTATTTATTTATTTATTTATTTATTTATTATTTATTTATTATTTATTTATTTATTTATTTATCTATTTATCTTTTTATCTATTTATTTATTTATGTATTTATTTATTGGTTTTTATTTAGTTGGTTTTGGTTTGTTCGTCAGTTATTTTTGTCGTTCGTTGCTTTCATTGATCTTTCTCCCTATTCTTCTTCTTTCAGATGGAAATCCCATCCCGGCACATCGTCTTAACATACATTGCAGCACAAGGTCCGCTAGAAAAAACTTGTGGTGATTTTTGGCAGGTAAAATAAAAGCCATCAAATAGATCCATTTGTTTACCGTAAAAATTGATTAAACCTCGTATGATTTGATCTGCTTCAGATGGTTTGGGAAAAAGAATCGACGTTAGTGATCATGTTGACGACTACGATGGAAAGAGGACGGGTAAGATGATGTGCTACAGTGAATATCCTAATGAAAGGCGTGCTGGTCACATTTTGTTTAATTTGTGATAATCATCGTCGTTGTCGTCGACTTCATCTTTATCCTCGGCATCATTGACAACACGATGATAATTATGATAAAGAACTATAATGCCTAAACGGGCTTTGACCACCCTTTATGGGGAGTTAGGATGGCGTGGTGGTAAAACGCTCGCCTGGCTCACCTCTGTGGTCCGGGGTTCGAATCCCAGTCACTCCATGTGAGCTGAGTTGGTTGGCTCTCATTCTGACTCCGAGGGTTTTTCCGGTCCTCCGGTTTTTCCTCCCTTCCCTCAAATCAACCCTAACTAATTCAAACTGGTTAGAACTGTGCTCCGGGGTCATTCATGGACTTGTATAGCGGCTGCCTCAGAGGCGCCTTCACTTGCTTTCAGTTCGACCCCGTGAGCTGCGCCACTGCAGCTGTACTTGCGGTGGTGATAAGCGATGACAAGTTTTTTTTAAATGAGATATCAAGTCAGCAAAATCAAATGAAATCCAGAGGGGTAGGAGGCAAATATTTCTTTCTTCCATTCATTTCATTTTTTCCTTCTAGGTGAAATGTCATCAGTATTGGCCAGAGGGAGACGATACGTGGACATTTGGTAACCTTGAAGTAGTCTGCACTAAAATAAGAGATTTCTCTCCGTCTTACGTCTACCGAGAGATGTATGTCACAAATAATAAAGTAAGTGCTTTAGCCATCTGTGCTGTATTTTCCCAATAATATATGAGACCTATACTGCTAATTATACCCTAGTACATAGTGATTTGTTTTAGAGTGGGAATCAACGGTCGTGTAGCGGTAGTGAACTCTCCTATAACCTCTGGGGTCTCGGGTTAGATTTCTTGAACATCATCACTAACATCTGAACAAAGTACTAGTTTGCTAGGTCTCTTAGCCGTGCCCATGCTTGGATCAGCCCAGAGGGCCTAGAGGTTGTTTTAAGGTTCAATCCGCTTTGAATAAGCCGTGCCCTGAATTTGATTAGCCCAAATGTTGTTTCAGGGTATCGATAAAATTTGAGCCATTTCGTATGATTGAGACTAGAAAGGGCACCTTTCGTAGCCATATTATCGCCTTTTGTTAAAAGAACAGTTCACATAGTTCGCATAGTTGTTAAAACACTGAAGCGTATTTTTATTCTGCCTGACAGAGTTTACGTAGCAGAGTCATAGTCCAACTGCAATACCTGGCTTGGCCGGATCATGGTAAGTATCTTACTACAGTAGCTATAAAACAAGAATGCTTATAAAAGGGAATATCTCTGTTTTCCTTCTTCAGATTTTTATTCAGTTCAAAAACCTTGTTAACTGCTTTTGTCTCATAATATTAAAGTTATAAATAAATTTGATCAATAAAGTTAATAAATCAGAACTTCATTCGGTAACCATAGCAGAAGTTAGAAGACGTTTAAGCAGTCTTAATAATTTTTGATTTATTTTTACTTTGCTTCGACAAGAGTGTAATAAAGTTTTCTAAGTCTAATGAGCTTAGTTAATTTTCTATAACACGAAACCGCTTCATTGTACAAAAACAAAACACAACAGAGATTCCTAATTACGTGTCGAAAAATGCACAAAATAAAATGAGAAAGTAGCTCAAAGTCATAATTTAATTTCGTCATTTTAAGTGTCAAATGTTCTTCTTCGTGCCTTGCCTTTATATCGAAGATGCATGTTGTGCTTGAAGAAAACCTTCATCCAACCAACTTCTTTAGCCATATTTATCATTTCCTCTGTAACTTCCTCGCAATGTGAACGTACAATCCTTCTCCATACATTATCAGAGGAGCAAACATTCTTCATGTAGCGGTTAAGACTTGTAAGATGAACTATGTCAACAACGTTCAAATACGAAGCAACTCTCATCAAAACTCGAGGAGGCAATCGTACTAGCCAGTCTCCACATGCGATTCCATGGACAAGCCTCAACGTTTCGTCTCCAAATACACGGTTTATATCGCTTTGTAAGAGCTCTTCGTGTTCAAAGTCAGACCAAGGGACTTTCTTTTGGCTTGGAGGGGTTCCTCTTTCTTCTCTTCGCAAAGCAATCCGCCATGTTCGCCATATTACTTCAGTCTCTGTGACGATTAACTGATGAAAATCTTTGCTTGGCGGCGGTGCTTGGGCTGCCTTTTCAACGTGAATCAAACTTTTACTCATATTTATCACAATTTCGTTATTTTGGAAGGTTTTTTCAATGAATATTTCTGCAAAAAATTGTTTTGAATCTCAAAAAACTTGTGAGTGCAAAACTTCCTCGAAAAAAAAAAAAGACAAACTCGCCATGATCACGTGATCCAGGTTAACCTATCACGTACCAGTTTTTTCGCTTACTTTTTCTAATACCTTTTCGAGAGGGGAGGGGAAGGGAAGATCTTTTGAACTATTAGATCTAAGTTTTTGTTTGAAAGTTTATATGTATCTAAATTTTAATTTACTGAAATGATATAGATGATTATGATAATATTCTAATGCAAAAAGCACCTTAAAAGTCTAGATTGTTAATTGGTTTACCATACCTTTTTTCTTTCTTCCGTTCTTTCTTTCTTTCTCTCTTTCTTTTC